TCTAGCAAACATGAACAATTGGCACACATGTCAGATGGATGTGAAATTTGAATTTCTTAATGGACCCTTAGACAAAGAAGTTTATGCCTTATAACCATCTGGGTATGTGAAATGAGGCGAAGAAAGAAAGACGTATAGGCTGCATAAAGTTCTGTATGGACTTAAGCAAGCTCCAAGAGCTTGGAATATGAAAACCAACAACTTCTTAAGGGAGAAGGAATTTTTAAAGTATACGACTAAGTGTGGAGTATATGTACAGAGAAGCAATAATGAATTGCTTATACCATGTCTCTATGTCGATGACCTGTTGATAACAGGAAGTTGCAAGAAGGAGATCAAAGATTTCAAACATGACCTAAGTGAGGAGTTTGAAATGTCAGACTTGGGAAATCTCTCACATTTTCTTGGCATCAAATTCTACAAGAGTACTAGAAGTTTGATGATGCACCAAAGAAGACATGTAGACGAAATAATCAAGAGATTTGAGATGTAAGATTGCAATCTAACTTCGACTCCAGCTGAGACCAGATTGCAACTGTCGAAAGATTCAAATTTAGATGATGTAGATCCAACCCAATATAGAAAACTTATTGGGTTACTTCGATACCTTTGTCACACAAGGCCTGACTTAGCATATAGTCTGAGTATGGTAAGTAGATTCATGCAGAAGGCAAAGTTATCACTCCTAGCAGCGACAAACATGATACTAAGATATTTGAAAGGAACTTTAGACTACAACATTTTGTTTCCTACAGCTGATGCAAGCTAGTGGAATACACTGACTCTAATTGGTATAGTAATATTGAGGATAAAAAATTCGCAGCTGGCTATGTGTTTATGTAAGGTGGTGCACCAATTGCTTGGAGTTTGAGAAAGGAGTCAGTAGAGGCATTGTCATCATGCGAAGCAGAATATATAGCTGATTCTCTTTGTGTATGTCAAACAACCTGAATGGTGAACCTGGTCGAAGAGATCACAACGAAGAGTCTTGGAGAAATTACCATTAAGATAGACAACATGTCAGCGATCAATTTGGCGAAGAATCCAATAGCACACGGTCGAAGCAAACACATCAAATTGAGTTTCTATTATCTTCTAGAACAGGTAGCAGAAGGGAAAATGAACTTAGAACACTGCAGAACTGAGAATCAGATTGCAGACATCATGACGAAGGGAGTGTCAGTCGAAGTATTTAAGAAGCTAAAGTCTATGATGAATGTAGATAGTTTAGACACAATGAATTAGGTGGCGTGTTAAATATGTAATTCATTGTTTTAGAAAGATTATGTTTGATTTAGAAAGATCAAATTTGATCTAGAAAGATTAGATTAGATATTTTTGGACTTTTATAGTTTAACTTTTAGCTTGAGATGCAAGTTAATCTAAATCTATAAATAGGGAGGAACCCTTATCATTGTAATCATCAAGTTTGATAATCACGGTTTTACAGTTGCAACGTGATAATAAAATTTCATAGTTGTGGCTGAGAGTTACTCTGCAATTCATAGTCATCTTCTTTAAATGTGTTCTTGTTCATTGTCATTACATAACAATCTTGAGATCGAAATTGAGAAGAATTCACCATAGGCCGTGTTTAAATTCCAACACATACCTCAACATAAATTTCAACAAAAGGAGAAAGAAGAAGAGTTGATTCGAAGTGAGTTTACCTGCGAAACCTTGAGTTCATCGAAGCCGTCGTCGGTTTTCCAGAATCTAAAATTTCCATTCGATACCCCCTTTTCATTCGCGTTTTTTTTTTTGTAGTTGTATGTATTGTGATCGCTCTTGTTTCTAAATGTTTCAGACCAAATTTCACTTCAATGTAAGATTTTTGGATCTTTATCTGAGTACTAAATTCGAGTTAAAGAAATTTGATCTGTTGCTCTAGAAATCAAAAGGATTGAGTTGAGACTTTGATTCAGAGTTTTTATGGTCTGTTGGCTTTGTTGTTTCTGTTGTGTGCTTGTTCTTTTTTTTTGCCACAAATTGTTTGTTTGGAGGTGTTGATTATGTTCGTTTTTTATGTTAGGTTTAGTTTTAGGGTGACATTTAGTTATTGGTTTAAGCAAGAAAGTTTGATGCTGAAAATCTGAGTCGTTTTGATTTGAGTGTGTTAGAGTCTTGTTGTTAGCCATGACTGAATTTAGTTAGGGATGAAGAGGAAGGTATGTCCAAGTGAGGAGAAGAAAGCAACAGTTATGTGTTTCTATCTTTTAGGTTTTTTTTTTTATTTTTCCTTTTGATTGTGTAACTGGACCGGGTTACATTGTTTCAAATGTTTAATAAAAATTGATAATAAATTGAAAATAAACAAAAACAAAAAGTCAAGTAAGATAACATACTGCCAAGTAGACGGTCACGTATGCACAATTTAACAAAATGGATCAGTTTGATTAACTAGACCGTTTTAAGAGATTATAATGTAATATTTTTTAACTAAAGGACCAAAGTGAAACAATAAATTAAGTTAAGGGACCAAAATATGAATTAAACCTATATTCAATCATTTAGAATAAAGATACTATATTTAGTATATATATTTTTTATTTTTATAATTCCTCCAAACCACAAAGTAACTTATAATATATATAATTATTTAGGACAAATTTATTAATATAGTGCAGTATTGTATTTTTTCTATTTTCATTTTCTTCTATCTTTTATTTTTAGTTATTTTTTAACCTTTTGTTTTTCTATACCTATATTCTTCTATTCTTAATTATATTTCATTGTTGTTTTTAGTTTTTTATTATGTATTTTTTAGATGTTTTGAAGAAAATTATATTATTTTATTCTTTGAACAATATTAAATTTGTTATTATAATATTTGAGTTTTTTTTAGAGTTTAATGGATATGCATTGTCATTTAATAAGTGTTTTGGACTGGGTCGGGACCTGCCCATCAGTCGGGCAGGTCCAACCCAACATTACGTTGGGAAGGCTCAATAGGGCCCAATCCTCCCATGTCGGACACGAGTCATATACGTCGTGCAAACCCACACGCTTTTCCCACGTTTTCCACGTGCTTTCCCATGCAGGGACACGTCATCAGGCAACTACCCACCTCCGAAAGAGTTTGTTAGTCCACCTTCCGGAGATCACGGGACAGTTGATCTAAGGCGAAGACCACATGCTGGTTTTCACTACGCCACGTAAGTCCTAGTAGTTACTTGGGTTGAGCCTGTTAGTCTGGCCCAATGCAAGTAACCGTTGGCCCTACGCTAGGGTCTCTCTATAAATACCCCCTTTCACTAGAGGGTCAAATATTCTATTCTCTACACCTACTTTTGTATTTGCTCTCACACTCTGATCATTTACTTACTTAAGCATCAGAGTGCCTTGCAGGTACACCCCCTCCTTCTCCCTACCTCCGGTGGAAGTTACAAGTCAACGACGCGTGGTAGACTAGTGATCCCATCTGATCAGGTACGATCAATAAGAATTTATTAATTTATCACGTTATACTATTAATTTAAAATTTTCAGTGTGATATGGTGAGATAAATAATAATAATTGATTGATGGTGTAAAATTATTTTATACCGACATTGTATATTTCAATTTTCTTACCATGTATTTTGTTAGGTGCCTTGAAGAAACAAAAAATATAGAGATCAAAACAAAGAGTCACAAAAAAGAGCTTTTTACCTTTATGACATTAATGAAAAATTATGTTTGATAATTGTCTATATTAGCTTTTAGTTTGTAATTTTTTATTAGCTTTTAATTATTTTTTTTCAAAAGCTATTTGATGTAGCTTTTGAGTTTGTAACTTTTAATTTATGATTTTTTCTTCTATTTCTACTTTTATTATTTTAACAAAAACCTATTTTTATCGTTCAATATTATTACCTCTTATATATATAATTGATTATAAAATATTAAGTTTAGAGATATGTAACGATTTTCTCTACTTTATTAGACATTTTTTTCCATGTACTAGATATAAATTATATAATTAATTTTAAAATAGTTTTGATAATTTTTAAATTAGGGAAACATCGGTGGAGAATCAATTAATGAAATTAACATAGGTTAAGAAAATTCAAAATATCAGGACAATTTTATTGTAAAATGTTAGACAATAAATTTTATTTTATTATTATTTTAAATTAATATAATTGAATTTAAAATTACGTTAGTATTATTTCACGTATTTTGTTAAATTTTATTATAAAATTAAAAAAAAACTTTATGTTACAAAATAATGAGTTATCAAAATCGAAAAATTGCAGTTATTAAGATTAATTTTACTTTTACGTACTCGTAAAAGACAAAATACTCTTTTTTTATGCATAATATGTTACTCTTTTATTCGTTAAATTTCGTTGTCAATATATTAATACTAAATAGCAAAACTCATAAAATATATATATAAATTTAATATATTTTTAATGTTATTTTCAATTTTTTATATATATTAAATCTGTTTTGCATATTTTTATTAATATATATTTTTTATTTTAATATAATATAATAAAATAATAAAACAACTTATTTTTTAATCAAGAAAACCTTTTAAATTATTTTATAATTATCAATTATTATAACAACTCATTTACCAAATATTCAAATTAATTTATTAATATAAAATAAGTATAAACTAGCATCATCATCTTCCCGTAGTCATCAACCATAAACTAATATCTATCAACTAATTTTACCACACATCAAAATGTGCATAACATTTTTGATATATTAATTAACTAATCTCTAAAATAACATCGGATAAAAATTGATTTTACACATATTTTATTTGAGTCATACAAAGAATCACAAAGGGGTAACAAAAATCGAAAAGGTGAGGTTGATTCACGGTTTAAGTTTCCGATAAACACATCATTAGCATCAGGTATCGGTAGAGAATGAACGACATCGGTTCTGTTTCCATTCCGATGTTAAAAACTGCCCGTGAAGCGTTCTAGTCAAACTGGAAGAGAACAACTTCATCAATTCAATCTCGTGAGGGTTTTGGTTTTGGTGTTGTAGCCAATTGCCATGTCCACCACAATTTCTTCTCTTTCCTTCTCTCTCCCTCTCCGCCACAATTCTAGGGTTTCTCCTTTCAATCCAATCTCTTCTACTATTCCATTCCAATCATTCACCCTTCCTACAAACGTAAGCACTCTTTCACTCTTTCTTATGTTACTTTTTATTTATTAATCTTACCTGAATCAATTTTTCATTCCAGAAATGGAGAGTTTTGTGTTTTAAGCATGAAAATATTCCATCAGAAACTAATGACTCTGAGCTCAAAGAAGATAAATTGTCGGAAGATTTGATCAAGTTTAAAGGCGATGATGATGATGAGGCCAAAGACTTGAAAAAAGACTGGCTTGCTGCTCTTCATACGGTACTGCTTTCGTTTTTTATAATCATGTTTCTCGGAGATTATAGCCAGTATAAATAAACTAGGAAATTATTCAGTTTTGCTGTAATGATTTGAAGTTACCGATTATATTGAAGTTTGTACTCGTGGGTTGTGGAATCAGAATGCAAATGTAAAATAAGTCTGTTTATAAGCTCTCCCGTTGCAAGACATTGCCTTGTTATGTCAAAATTATTTTAAGCAGTGACCATTTGAGGAGACTTTACATTCAGCAAAGTATTTATGAGCTCCTTAATATGATCTTAAGAATTGATCTATCTAATCTATTCATAACTTCTCATCAAATACACTTGAGATGAAATTCTTGGAATACTATGTATGCTATTTGACATTTTGACTATTTTCTCTGACTATTAGTGCTTAGCTACTTCATTTATCTAAGTCCATAACCTAATCATTCTTGAATCTAAAGGTCCAATAGATAAAGTGCTTAGCTTTCTGTTACAATAAGTGTAAGGAAGTTAAACATGCTTAGCTGAGTTGGGCATGTAGAGAGAAGAACTATAGATTCCGTTGTAAGGAGAGTAAATTTGATGGACAAGAGTCAAACAACTACAGGTAGAGGAAGATCTAGAAAAACTATATGAGGAACTATTAAGAAAGATCTTTAGATTAACGATTTGATGAAAACATGGTATTTGATAGAACATTATGGCGGAATTTGATCCATGTAGCCGACTACTCTTAGTGGGATAAGACTTGATTGTTGTTATTGTTGTTGTAAGGAAGTAATCATGAAAAGAATGATGTTTCAATTAACTCTAAGTTTTCATATTCTTAAGCCTTCCCCATATGTCATTTGGTTGTGTCTACTAGATCACCAATTTACATATTCTGCAATTTTCAAGACAAATTTGACATGCCATTTTGATTTTTTTCTAGGGAACAGTCTGAAAAATTTGGAGTTGCCTTTGGGTTCATTCCCCTTTTCATATTATTAGCAATTGACTACCCATATAGAAAGTCTGTTAGAATTCTACCGAGGTTAGCATCTCTCTTTGTTTTGAAGCCATGGCTAAAGTAAGAATTTCTTTGTGTTGGAATTTCCGCCTTAATTGCAGTCCGCCCCTAGTCGCCTTAATTGCGGCACCATGGCTTACCTTCATTGCACACCCCAACATCTTCATTGTGTTGGGTTTAAAGGGGTGGTGGATTTAGTCCCACATTACTTAGAGATATGGCCTGTGTTGTGTTTTTAAGTGAGAGTAATCCTCACCTTACAAGTCGGTTTTGTAGGGATGAGTTAGGTCCAACCAAATTCTGAGAGTTAGAAATTAGGATATTGAGATAGTTCAGTAGTTAGACTTAGAAGGAATATTTTTGTATAAATAATATAAATGAGTAGAGAAAGGCATTTTGATTTGTAAAGATTGAGTGAACAGAACGGTGGTTCTATTCTTTTGTAGAAGGCGGGAAATTGCTAATCAAGGCAATCAAATTTGCCAGTCCAGAGACTGAAGTTCACAGACTGGTTGCAACAATGAAGTTTCAGCATACCTTTCACCACTGTCACACACTTTTAGTTTGTGTCCTGCATTTTCAATTTTCAGATGCAACCTTCAGGATAGTATGGCAGTTAAGTAGTTAAAGCAATAGTTAGTATGGATAGGAGAAATACGAGTAGAGAATGACATTTAAATTCTCAAATATTACATAAATAGACCAGTTTCTCATTTTTTCTATAAAACTTTGTTCTTTTCCTAGGTTCTTAATAGTTTTTAACCGTAAAGATAATAGGTATGATCACATCATGATCTGAACACATTTTCACTATTCTTATTTCAACATTCAGTCTATGATGTTTGAGGGGAAAAACTAGACTTAACACTTGTATACAGTCGTCTGAGAATGAACAAAGAAGGAAAACAGAAGGCAGAGGAGACAGAGAAAGAATATATCAAAGAGAATTGGTGTTTTAAAAATAGCTAAATAAATAATGGGATTTTCTCTTTGGTAATTAGCATTAGGCTTTAAAATTAGTATATGTTTTGATACTTGTTTCTTGCTTTACGTAGTAGCTCATGTCATTCTGCTTTTTCCAATTGATTTGAATTATTCATAAAAGAATTAATAACATTATCCAATCATCAAATGTCAATCGGCTCTTAACTCTTCATTATCCACCTCTAATTCTGCTGTTTAACAATGTAAACATCTTTAAAATCTCGGGAATAGTAAAAGTATTGTTTTTAACATTCCAGATCATAAATACCGTTCTTGGTGTGGAACCCTGGAAAGTTCCTTGGACTGCAAAGACCATTGTTCAGGTAAAGTGTATCCTTTCTTATCATTGTATATTATTATCAATCATCAATTTATCTGTGCTTCAAGCATGTTTGCTACTCTGGATTGGGATACTTTCCTGATGGATTGGGGATACTTTCCTGTCCTCACAGTATAAATGATTATTCCTGTTTCATGTGTTAAACTAAAAAGACACGAAATGGCCATTCCATTGTCCTCACTGTATAAATGATTATTCCTGTTTCATGTGTTAAACTAAAAAGACATGAAATGGCCATTCCATTCAGCCTCTGATTCTTCATGACTAAGAAAGGCCCTTTCTCTTTCTGTTGGAATGACAGGATTCCTGACTGCCAAGAATGAGATAATTATACAGCCGTACCCTATTTTCTTTTTGTCAAATGAATAAGAGTCCCTTCGTCTTAGAGAGAAATAATGATTTGAGGTTAAAAATAACTGTTATATACATTTTACCATTTTAAATAATAAAAATTACTAAAACTCCATAAATTAGTCTCTCAGAAATTCATGTAAGGGAATTTTCTTGACAGAATGTTAAAAACATATTTAAACAATCATAAAATAATGAATAATAACATCCTTTTGTTTTAAAATTCAAGTGAAAATGTAAAATTGTTACACTTATTTAATAATTATTGTAGTTGATTTGATAGGGGTGATTGATGTCATAATTACAATTCTGTTCCTATTCCATGTACAAACATAGTTGTTTTTTTTATATGAAATCAGTGTTAGGAAGCAAACTAAATTGGGTTTTGCAGGTTATGCTCCTCTGGATTGCCTCATTCTGGTTGGTAGGTTCTTGGATAGTTCCATTTTTAGCTTACACAGCAGGTTTTAGGAAGGAAACTCTTTCATACAGAGGACAAGCATTGTACAGTCTCTTGACAGATGTTGCCGAAGGCGTGGTTGGGATAGCTATACTTCATCGTTGTCTTGCAAAGTTTAAACCACTCCCAGATGATTGGTTCAGATTTGAACTCAAAGGGAACTGGCAGTTTGATGTCGGTTTAGGCTGCCTCATGTTCCCCCTCATCAATCATCTGTCCCAAATGAACCTAAATTTATTGCCTGTTCTTCAATATGCTCCAGTTACAGTCTCGAGTGTAGAGCAATCAATTTTAGCACGAGACCCTGTGGCAATGGTCCTATATGCAGTGGTAGTTTCAGTTTGTGCCCCAATATGGGAGGAGATTGTCTTTCGAGGTTTCCTTCTCCCATCTTTAACGAGGTACATGCCTGTGTGGAGTGCAGTATTAGTCAGCTCAATAGCATTTGCGTTGGCACATTTTAACATCCAGAGGATGCTGCCCCTTGTATTTCTTGGCATGGTGATGGGTTCTGTATTTGTACGGTCTAGGAACCTCTTGCCATCAATGTTGTTGCATAGTTTGTGGAATGCTTTTGTATTTCTGGATCTCATGAAATAGTATATATGTTTTACTCTTCTTTACATCTGATCTTTTATTTTCAACTTTACACATGGACACAGGTACAATCATTTCCTTCTCCCTTATAGACACGAGCTAGAAAAGGTGAGTAACCTAATCCTTTTCACCCAAAGTGAAAGCTTGAAAGTTTCAACTTTGGACGCCTTACTGTTGACATAATTTCAGGGTAAAATATCTCCGAGGTGATATTCTGTGACTACTAAATAACAGAAAAATACAGAGTTTGCATTATTTTAGCAGTACAGAATCAAATAATTGTTGATAACATCACAATTGTGAACATCCTTTCAGCCAGGACCCACATTAGATAGTTACAGAAAGAATGCATGTGGTTTGCTTCATTTTACGAGTTGATGAGCTGGTCGTCACGATTCTCCGTTTTGAACTTTATATGCTAACTGTATTCTGTCAATTTCTACAAAAACAACTTGAATCTGTATTTGGGGTCCTTGGTGCTTGCAAGAACGGTGTAACATTCTTTTCAGGATTAGACTGTATTAATGAAAGTTGTATTTACTGGCAAATACCTATTGTCTTAAACGGAGACATAAAAGTGGGGACCGTTTGATTTCTAGTCATATGCTATGCTGGCTTACTGAGTTTTGTCCCATGAAACTTTGTTCTTGTTTACTTTATCCTAACAACACAGGGGGCCCTTGTCTGCCATTTTATATTTTCGGAAAGTTGCTTAACAAAGCCAAATTCGTTCATTTTGGGATGACAATGACATAGACTCCCTATTCAGTTTATTTAGGGGGGGTGTTTTTGTCTACAACTTCTCTTTTTCTTTGAATTCAAGGCAAGTTTGAAAAAGCTATCTTGTGAAAGTCACATTGATACTAAAGATGCGCTAATTAAACATATATTAAGTGATTTTGGCTTATTTTTCACTATCATTTTTACTTCAGGTATATGCATTTCTCAACACTTTCTCTAATATTAAATCTTATTATGGACAATCTTATAAAATATCCAATGTAACATCTGTTACATTTATTTTATTCATCTATTCTTAATTGTTAACATTCTGCCTTGTAGAATATTACAAGTCTTACTATTTGATGAAGTTTTTTCTACAACTTAAACGGTACTTTTTGTGTCACATAAAATTTCCGAAGCCATCCTTTATATCAACCGACTAATTTGAATTTTATGGCTTACATCTCCTTCTAGTTTTCGATTGTTTTGTATTATGCATTCAAGATATTTAAACGACCAAACTTATGGTAGGATATGATCTTCAACTTTTATCTCTAAATTAGAAATGTTTTTTTTGTTTTGTTTTGTTAAACTTACATTCAATATATTGTGTTTTATAGGTGAAAACCACACCGCTTTGTTTTGTTTTGTTAAACTTACATTTAATATACTGTGTTTTATAGGTGAAAACCACACCGCTCACCTTACTTGTGCTATCTTTTGAATGTTTTGAAAATTGTCATTTTTCTCATTTGTCTATTCTCAGATATTCTCTCATACATATTTTAGATAATTTGAATATAGACAATTCTAATAATCTTTCTTCTCCCCCGTTTTCTGCAAAGTTTCATAGACAAATCTATCGTATGAAAGTTAATCGTCACTGTTTATCTATTCAAATATTGCTCATCACATGCTATGGTAAATAGATGACTTTCATCTTTGACCTATTAAAATCATATTGATCATTAATACCTTAAGTTTTTCTTCTTCTTAATTCCCGTTTAATCATTCTTTTCCATAATTTTATAGTATGACTCATGTTTATTAATTTTATTTTTATAAGTTGCATAATTTAGATCAAAATTAAAGTGTTTCTTCTTCATTCATTCGACTTTCAATAAATATGTTTGTATGACCCAATCTCATTACTATTCTTATCTTTTTCAACTCTTTTTTATCTCATATTTTAAGTCCGACGATGGTAGGTTATCATTTAAATGTTTTTCTCTATTGCTGAGTTTGATATACTTGATGAGATAACATATTTTTTGGTACTTTATCCGAGTCATACAACATGTTTTCAGACAACAACCTAATATTGTATTTTAAATTTATATCATAAAGATTCGACAAAGTTTTACCAACCTTATTTCAAACACACTTAAAACCTCAAAAAGATTATATGCATCACCCCTCAGCTATAGTGGAGGAAAAAGCCTGAAATTTCCTTCCTGTAAGAACCTCATGATACCTTCCTTTATTCTTTCAGATTCTGAAAATATGCTAAAGTTGTTAATAGATAACAATAACACCACGTACACCAATTGGTGGTGAAGTTATGATTTAGCTTATCAATTTGTGCCTTGACTTTTTAAAAAGAGAAAGAACATGTCTAATGCTTTTTCAGTACATCTGTTTTCATGTCATTAATTCTAAGCTAGACATGTGGCACAATGCAAATCCTTTTCTTCATTCATAATAATTAATTATTCAAGTAATTTTTTAGAGTAAATTTTACTCTCTAAATAAATACTCATTACTCTTCTTTAACCAATCATGAATCATAATAGTTTTTTATATCACATACATATAATAAATGTTCCAATGAAATATTTTTATAAGTGATTGTTTATGTTACATGCACATAATACACATAATACACATAGTACAATTATTTTATAATTTCTGTTAAGCTTTATTTTGCAGGCTTGTAGAAGTTGAAATGTTATAATCAGAGTGATGAAATCATCCATTAAAAGTGGTTATATCCATCCAAATATTAATATTGCATATAACAAAAAAGACAACAAAATAACATAACACATAAAACTTTAAATATAAGCAACCACATCGAAAATATTAATTAATTTATTACACATAATTGAGGACTTTAAGTAAATATAATATAAGATTCCTTATGATTACTTTTTAAAGCTTTTAATTTACTTTATAAAAGCTTAAAGGCAACATTGTAATTGTAATTGAATAAAAGTTGGTATTTCTTGGTTTTTATGAATTCCCTTTTTACTATATATATATGCATAATATGCATGTACCTGTTTCTTGACTGTGATTTTCTGATTTGATTATTAGAGTAAGTCCAGAAACAAACCAACCCTCTTTATGAAAATTTTAAAGCAACAAATGATTAAAAAGGAAAGGTGAGGTTAACTGACCATGAAACATGACAATATGATTATGGTGGCCTTGTGGGGGCTCACATTTTTTTCCCCTACTTTTTTCATTTTGAAGAACGAAATCCGTTTTGTGAAACTGAATTTAATTAATTTAACTGTAATTTCGAATTTAAATCTGTAGATGAAAAAAATGTGATTGAAAGGAGAGACTCGTTAAAAAAGATTCTTATATAAAAAATTTCATATATTTCAAAATAAAGATAAATTCTGAATTCAGGTTTAAAAAATATCACATCTCAATATATAAAATTATTTTATAAGAGGAAGTAAAATTCAATATAAAATCTTAATAGTCGACAAATCAATAAGTTTTTTAACTGAGGTTAATCATCAACATAACTTACAGTGTTAATGGAATATTTAACACTCTAATATTCAAATCATAGATTAATCTGACTTACAAAAATTTGTAATCTAAAATATTTAAATCTCTGATTTGTTTAATTAAAAAAGTCAGACTTAGACCTAAACTATTATAAAGACTATGAAGTATGATAAGTCGGTATCTAACCCTACCTGACTTCTTGGAGAGAGATTATATATTAAGGGGTTTTGTTATGTGTATAAGTCAAAATATATGTGCATAAGAGAAGTGTCTTCTCTAGCTATACCTACCTTCTACTATTCCCTTCTTGCACTTTCAAATTTGAAATTTTTTTCCTTACAATTTGCAACCATGGAAGCTTCACAGCCTCTTTCTATTGAAAGCTTCTCTTACAGTTGGTTAGTGAACTTAAAGCCATCACTAGAAAGCCTAGATAGTTCCTTTAGAATTCCTCTTGATGCATATGATGAAGCTTCCTTCATTGAGATGGATCCAAGAATGCCACCATCTAAAAGATTCTTCAAGATCTCACATGATTCCAATTCCAACATATTTGATTTTCCAACTTCACAATCCCCTCTTAGCACTCTTGTTCATGCAGATGAACTCTTCTCCAATGGTTACCTCATGCCTTTTTTTGTTGAATCTTTGAAAATGGAAGAATATGAAGCCTTAGACTCCAATATTACATGTCTCAATTCATCTTCTTCGCATGCGCCGAAATGCGTAGCTCCTCTTGTTCATTCTAGATGTTCTTCTTTGAAAAGATGTAGAACATTATCAAGGAGAATATTTTATAAGTATCTCAATTTATTAAGGTCTTTGTGTAGAAGAAGATCAAGTGGTCATAAATCAAGTTCAAATGTTGATAAAAGAGGTGATGGTTTAATGAATAGAAGATGCTATAATTCAGAATCATCTCCAAGAATCAGTGTAGCTTTTTCTGCAGATGATTGGAGAAAGTCTTGTGATTCTGAAAGCTCAATAAATGAGGCAGTTCTTCATTGCAAAAGATCCATAGGTATGTAATGAAGTATAACAAAATTTTACCTCATATTTTTGAAATAAAATAAATTAATTATTTTATATTTTGAATGAAATATGAAAAAAAATTTACGAATCAATCTAGCGATTAAAAGCTTGAGACCTTAGTCTATTGCTCTTCATATTTTAGTTCGAATTTTTTAAGTCAGTTCATGCGGAATTTTGTTCTTAGAGTCTCTGGTAGATTTTTTTTTTATTGAGACTATAAAATGTTTTAGTCAAATTTTATTTTATATTTAAATTTAAAGGGAGTTTAAATCATGCATAGGTTTTTCCCATCATAGAATTATGCTTCTAACACTTGACATTTCTTTTATGGCAGAAAGAATGAGTTAAGGATGGTGGTGAAGATAATGAGATGAGAAACATTTAATACTATGATGAAAAAAATGATGCCACTTTATTGTTGTAACTAAGGTTTTTCACTTCTTGTGGAAACTTTTTTATTAATTTTTTCAATTGGTGGCATCATATGGTTCATGATAGTACAAGTGAATGAAATAAAACAAAATTCAAAAAAAGAAAGGAAAGATGAAGAGAAACAATCCCATGTGAAGTGAAGAAGCATGAGACCAAAACATCATCAGCCACTCATGTTGTCTCAATCTTATTTGCTTTAAGGATATGTGGTTGGTCGGTCATTATTCAGATAAATAAATAAAAAGAAGAGATAGAGTTCAATTTTATTTATTTTTATTAATCTTGTTGATATAGGGAGGAACACTTTGGCACTAGACGAGAATCTGCTTTTTTCTTTCTATCTATCTTAATATGCATAGTTCCTTTAATAATTCTTTGTTGTTGATAAAGTTTCTTGAATAGTTTTGAAATTAAAAGCTTATGCTAAAAGAATCATTATGTGTGTAGATAATATAATTACTAGTAAGAGGAATTTATTTGAAATGAAGCAATGGTTAAATCAAAGTAACAACTTCATATTGATGTAATGTGTCCCTTTGCGTAGTGTTAATGTTTCGGGTGTAGAACTATTTAAGCAAGGTATTCATACCAAATGAGTATGTTAGAAACTTAGGATTCAAACTAGGAATTTTGAAATGTTTGGGTGAGTAGGTGCCACCAAAACTTTTTAAAAGTTGTGTTATTTGTTTGTTTGGGTTATTCGAGAGTCTTATCATTTTTTTTTGGGGGGACTCTTATTATGAGCAACACATCTGAATAACACACATTGTAAGATACATATCATATATTTATTTAAAATTTTAAGATGATAGGTGCGTGAGTTCTTTCACTTATAAATGCTCAAGTCTCTACATTTTTAATCAATGTGAGAGTTCTCCATACTACTCACACTTGTTATTCTCAACACTCACCCTCAAGTGTGAGTCTATCTACAATGTCCCCCTCAATTGGAAGCTTCTTTTATCCACACACATTTGTACCGTCGTTGACATTTTTCAATAGGACACCTCCCACGGAAATTTCGATATAAGTAAGCTGATCTCTTAACTCGAACCAAAGGCTCATGATATCACTGTTGGGGCAACAAATTGGGGAATCAACACGAGGGAGTATTTTACACCGTTTGAGGTTTTTCTTTAAGAGAAACACACTTTGTGAGAGACATACCACATACTCACCCAATATCTTAAGGTGATAGGTGTGTGAGTTCTTCCACTTATAAAAATCTTGACTTACCCACACTACTCACACTTGTTATTCTCAACACTCCCCCTCAAGTGTGAGTCTATCCATAATGCTCTCCCTTAAGTGGAAGCTCTTTCATCCACATACACTTGTACCACCGTTGATACTTTTCAACGAGACAATCTACCCACGACCATATGGAAATACTTTCGATATAAGTAAGTCGTTCCCTTCACTCGAACTAGGCTCTGATATCAACGTTGGGGCTATTCAAGGGTCAACATGAGGGGAAATTTTTACTTTAGGGAGTTCCATTTTGCGCAATGCACCTTTGTGAGAGACACACCACATACTTACCCAAAACCTTAAGGTGATAAGTGTGTGGATTTTCCCACTTATAATTGCTCAAGTCTTCACATTTCTAACCAATGTGAGACTTCCCCACACTACTCACACTTGTTATTCTCAACTTTTTTTATCACATACACTTGTATCACCATTGACACTCTTCAACGAGACACTCTACTCATGACCATGTGAGTATACTTTCGATACAAGTGAGTCGGTCCCTTCGCTCGAAATAAAGACTCTGATACCACTGTAGGATCAATTCTGGGGGTTAACATGAGGGAACATTTTTACTTTGTGGGTTTTATTTATGAGCAACACACATTTCTGAGAGACACACAACATACTCATCCAAAATCTTAAAGTGATAGATGTGTGAGTTCTGCCACTTATAAATGCTCAACTCTCCACATTTCTAACCAACATGAGACTTCTCTACACTACTCACACTTGTTATTCTCAACACTCATGAAACCACTGTTAGGACTATTCGGTGGGTTAACATGAAGAAGCATTTTTACTTTAGGAACTTCCATCACAAGCAACACAACTATGTGAGAGACACACCACATACTCATCCAAAACCTTGAGATGATAGGTGTATGAGTTCTCCCACTTATAAATACTCAAGTCTCCATATTTCTTACTAATGTGAGACTTTCTCACACTACTCACACTTGCTATTATCAACACCCCCTCAAGTGTGAGTCTATCCACAATGCTCCTCCTCAAGTAGATGCTTATTTTATCCACATACACTTGCACCTCTGTTGACACTTTTCAATGGTACACCTCCTACGAAAATTTTGATACAAGTAAGCTGATCCCTTCATTTGAACCAAAGGCTCACGATACCACTATTTGGGCTACAAATCTGGGGATCAACATGAGGGAACATTTTGTAATTTTTGGGGATTTTCTTTAAGAGCAACAAACTTTGTGAAAGACACATCAAATACTCACCCCAAACCTTAAGGTGATAGGTGTGTGGGTTCTTCCACTTATAAATGCTCAAGTTTCTACATTTTTAACCTTCTTCTAAAAGGATAATAGTTTCTCATCAATGATACATGAGGATCCAATATCTTTGACCTTTTTAGATACTGCGGAGGGGGAAAACCATTATCTCTTTGTTTCCTGGGAACACATAAGAATAAATAGAAATCACTACCACTAGTGCAAAATATTTTAGAAAATTAAAAGAGGAACAAAAGCCTTTTATAGGGAAGCCAAAGCTACTAGTGTTCGAAAATCTTTTGGGCTCCCCCCAAAATAAAAAGTCTTACAAAATATTAACACATCTCTGACAAGTGTGAAGGTCAAGACCATTTAGCGTCTCAAAAATAAATTACATTGCTTACATTAAATAAAATAAAGAGATTCCATCGAGTGACTGGTGTTTGATATTCCTCAACTGACACATAAGCTATGTAGGAAACACCTAGCAAGGCTTGATGACTCACCCCTAACTGAGGGACTCACCCTACTAAGTGACTCACCCCTAACTGAGGCACCCACTCTCAACTGAGGGGTTCAATCAAAAGAAATGATGAGTCTAAAACACTTCTCCCTTTACAAGCCATCGTGCTTAAGGGGGGTGTGTAGTGATATATTTGTAAAGGCTTATGACAAGGCGGTATTGGGCCAAGCCTCATAAGGCGATCACCCCAGAAAAGGGAGCTCAGGCATAACCCTACTATATTGGTTACTCATCATGTTAATAAACATGGGTGGTTACATGTACACAAACCATATAATTTCATGTGCAATAAGTGTTGGTCCTGATCCACTAAGAAGTAAACAGTCAACAATTTTCTTAGTCAAGGTGGAATGTTTACCACTTCTCTTATTTTTTTAGTTAATCACTGCCTGCCAGTTAATGTACCAAGTTCTCTGTAGATCTCACCTTTCATCTCAATTCTTGTCTTTTTTCTCCGGCCATGTCGCCATCCTTTTGTTCTCTCCCCAGTGGAGTCATCTCTATTCTTAAGGGTTCTCCAATGGAACTATCACTTCTCTTTTGAGTTCCTCAGCAGAGTTTTCTTTTTCTTTCTTGATTTTAACACCGTTCCTCTTACATCCCCCAGTTGGGTCTCACTTTCCTCTTTTCATTCTTGGGTTTGACGTCGTCTCTTTTTCCTTCCTTTTTTTAGTGTTGGTTCCCTGAACTATGTAGGCTCTGATTTCCTCATTGCACTATGAGGGTACGTAGGCAGAAGATTGTGAAATCTTAGTGAGCCACCTTCTTCCGTCTTCTTCCATTCTTCTGTCTCTTTGGTTCGCTCAAATATTCTCCTTTTTTCCTGGTTCCTTGAACTACGGAGCTCTGACTTCCTCATTTCAATATGAGGGCACGTAGGCACGAGGGCCCCAATCCTATGTGAGCACGTTCTTTTTCTTTCTTCTTTTTTTCTTTCTCTCCTTTCTTTTCCTTTAGTTAGAAGCCTTTAGATAGATAATCCATCCAATCCTAAAAGTAAGCGAAATGGTTCCCACTGGATACGGCAAATGCTTAAGGTGCTAGTACCTTCCTTTCGCATAACCCACCCCTTTCCTGTTTCTCTTCCCTTGAGTTTTATCGATATTTTCCCTATCCTTTGAGACTAAATAAAGTTCGGTGGCGACTCTGTTGTATCTTTGAATGTGCGATTCACTTAGGTATAATCCTGCTAGCTTCACCAATAATCTCCACGGGTTTATTGTCTAGGCCAAAGGGAAGAGATGGGAGTCATTCGCCCTCACGACAATGTTAGAGCCCTCCCGCCCTCTCACTCACACAAACCTATCCTTCAAATTCTTGTAGTAATTATAGTGGAGTTTGAACGAGGCCCTCTCCAAAAGGTGTCATAGGGTTATCAGTCCCTATTTTTCAGAAGGCCTAGTGGCATAAAACAAAAAGAATACCCCTACAATGGGAAAAATCTCTAGCCCTTGGAACACCATCTCAAATGCCCTCACAAAGCCTAACTGTTGGGTGCTAGTTGAGAAGAAGAGATGTTAAGGACTCTTATAACCTCCACCTTGAAAAGGAAAAGAGAAAAATAACTCTCATGTCCTTAATAAGGGGAAGGTAGAAGTAGAAATAAGGAAAGGAGGATCCAAGAGAGGTGATCATGTTAGCCCTCTCTATTTCTAATCGAGCCTCCAAGTTGACCATCTCACTGTCTTCTGAAAAAGAGATGGTAACCTTCTTCTAAAAGGATAATAGTTTCTCCTCAATGATACATGAGGATCCAATATCTTTGACCTTTTTAGATACTACGAATGGGGGAAACCATTATCTCATTGTTTCCTAGGAACACATAAGAATAAATAGAAATCACTACCACCGGTGCAAATTCTTTTAGAAAATTAAAAGAGGAACAAGAGCCTTTTATAGGGAA